ACTGCTGGTCTTGTGTGGGGTACAGAACAAGAGAAGACTGTGCAACAGGTTCAGGCTGCCATGCAAGCTGCTGTGCTACTTGGACCATATTATCTGGCTGGTCAAATGTGCTTGAAGTGTCAGTGGCAGATAGAGATCCTGTTTGGAGCCTTTGGATGGCCTCTGTTGATCAGTCACAGCACAGACCCTTACTGCCATCCTCTGCAGATATCTACTCTCCTTTCAATAAACAGCTTTTGGCTTTTTAGTGGGCCTTAGTAGAGAGTGAACGCGTAACCATGGGCCACCAAGTAACTGTGTGGCCTGAGCTGCCCATCATGAACTGGGTGTTACGTGACCCACAGAGTCATAAAGTTGGATGTGCATAGCAGCACTCCATCATTAAATGGAAGTGGTATTACAAGATAAGGCTCGAGCAGGACCTGAAGGCACAAGCAAGTTGCATGAGGAAGTGGCCCAAGTGCCCATGGTCTCTACTCTGTCACATTACCTTCCATCTCCCAGTCTGCACCTGTGGCCTCCTGGGGAGTTCCTTATGATCAGTTGACTGAGGAAGAGAAAACTTGTGGCTGGTTTACAGATGGTTCTGCACAATACTCAGGCTTCATCTGAAAGTGGACAGCGACAGCACTCCAGCCCCTTTCTGGAACCTCCCTGAAAGACAGTGGTGAAGGGAAATCCTCCCATTGGTCAGAACTTCGAGTAGTGTACCTGGTTATTCACTTTGCTTGGAAGGAGAAATGGCCAGATGTGCAGTTGTATACTGATTCATGGGCTGTGACCAATGGTTTGGCTGGATGGTCAGGGATTTGGAAGGAACATGACTGGAAAGTTGGAGACAAGGAGGTATGGGGAAGAAGTATGTAGACAGACCCCTCTGAATGGGCCAGAGAAGTGAAAATATTTATGTCTCGTGTAAATGTTGACCAAAGAGGAGGATTTTAATAATCAGGTAGATAGTATGACATGTTCTGTGGAAACCAGTCATCCTGTTTCCCCAGCCACTCCCGTCATTGCCCAGTGGGTTCATGAACAAAGTGGCCATGGTGGCAGAGATGGAGGTTATGCATGGGCTCAGCAACATGGACTTCCACTCACCAAGGCTGACTTGGCTACAGCCACTGCTGAGTGCCCAGTCTGCCAGCAGCAGTGACCAACCCTGAGTCCTTGGTAGGTACCATTCCTCAAGGTGATCAGCCAGCAACCTGGTGGTAGGTTGATTACATTGGACTGCTCCCATCATGGAAAAGGCATCGTTTTGTTCTTACTGGAATAGGTACTAACTCTGGATTCGGATTTGCCTTCCCTCTATGCAGTTCTTCTGCCAAAACTGCCATTCGTGGACTTACAGAATGCTTTGTCTACCATCATGGTATCCCAGACAGTATCACCTCAGATCAAGGAACTCACTTCACAGCAAATGAAGTTTGGCAGTGGGCCCATGCTCATGGAATTCACTAGTCTTACCATGTTCCCTATCATCCTGAAGCAGCTGGCTTGATAGAGCAATGGAATGGCCTTCTAAAGACACAATTACAGAGCCATCTAGGTGGCAGTACCTTTCAGGGTTGGGGCAGTGTTCTCCAGGAGGCTGTACATGGTCTAAACCAGCATACGATATCAGTGTTATCGTGTATCAGTGTATCAGTGTTACACGCAAGTATGACTTTATAATTGTCTTTATTTGGAGATTATGTATGGTTTAAGGAGATGTTTACAGGTGCCAAGTTGATAAGGGGTAGACTATGATGGTTAAGACTGTGTATTAACTTGGCTGGGCTATGATTCTCAGTGGTTTGGCAGTTATGATGTCGTGTGGCAGTTATGTACTGATGTAATTTGGTAGTGATGTAATGATGTAATGAACTCTATGATGAGATCGGGTTGTGGCCTGCCTCTAGTATATAAATGGATGTTCCAGCAAGGCTCTCGCTCTGGATTCTGCTTCCAGCTCATCATCATCTGACCTCTGCTTCTTGGGACTTGAGGTAACAGCTTACCTACCCATCTTGGGATTCGTCAGCCTCTACAACCACGTGAGCCATTTCCTTGAGATCACTCTCTGTATATATATGTATATATGTGTGTATACGTATATGTGCATATATATGTGTGTACATATACGTATATGTATACGCTTCACTGTTTTTGCCTCTCTAGAGAACCCAACCTAAGACAACTGGGTTCTGGTGGTATCTGACAGGTTTCTTCACTGTAAAGTTATGGCTTTCCCCTTTGTAAGGAATAAATGTCTTGTGGAGAGACACTTTGAGATTATGTAAATATCTTGTGTTTTGCCAACTTTTCACCCATTTGTTTTAGCATTCGTTAAAGGTTCTTCCATGAATGAAATACTACTGTGATGGTTCTCCCATTCTCTCATGAACTCATTCCATTTAGACTTTCAGCCTAACCACTTGTATGAAACAGGTTTTGTTAAGGTCACCAGTGATTGTCAAGATATTAAATCCAAAGGTTAAATTTGAGTCCTTACTATTTGACCTATATGTAGCACTTGATACAGTTGATCACTCTTACCTTCTTGGAAAATTTTCTTCACTTGGCTTCTGGGATATCACTTTCTTGCCATATTGGTAACTCTTTTTCAGTCTCCTTTACCACTTCCTCCTCCTCTCTCTGGTCTCTGAAGGTTTGTGTATCCCAAAACTTAGTCCTTGCACTGCTTCTCTTCTTTATTTACACTCACTCCCTTGGTGAGGTGATCAGTCTCATGGCTGACAGCTCCCACCACATCCATCTCTCTAACCAGGATTTGTCTAGCCAGTGCCTATTTGGCATCTCCATTTTGATGTTAAATATTATCCCAGTTTGAACATATCTAAAACTGAACTCCTGACCCTCACCCCCAAACTCCTTCTCTCAAGGATTCCTCTTTTCCATAAATGGCAACTCCATCTCTCTGTAGCTCAAGCCCAAAACTTGGAAGTTATTTTTAACTCTTCTCTATCTTCTTCTAACTCATCTGCTTCTGTCTTCTCAACAGGGCAACTCAAGTGGTGTTGATGCTGTTTTGAAAAATAAATCATAAGTCAGATAATGTGACTCCTGTATTCAATTCCCGCCTTCCACCATGGCTTTTTATCTTAGGCAGAGTAAAACTCAACAGTCACGTGTATGGCTCTACAAGGTCTGGCCCCACCACCTCTCCGACTTTGTCTTTTATTACTCCTCTCCCCCTTGCTTGATCTTCTGCAGCCACAACTCCCTCCTTGCTGGTCCTCAGATATGCCAAGTGTGCTCTCATCTCACAACCTTTGCCCTTATTCTTTTCTCTGCCTAGAACATTCCTTCTTTTTGGTTATCAGTATGCTTTTTTGTTTTACCCACGGTTATTGAGATATAATTTACATACCATACAATTCACCCATTTAAAGTGTACAATTCAGTGGTTTTTAGTATATTTGCTGTGTTTTGCAACCATCACCACAGTCAATTTTAGAACATTTTCATCATTCTAAGAAGAAACCCCTGCACCCTTTAGCAGCCACTTCCCACTTCCCCCTGACCCCTGCCATCCAGCCCTAGGCAACCACTAATCTACTTTTTATCTCTGTAAATTTGCCTATTCTGGCCATTTCATATAAACGGAATTATACAGTACGTGGCCTGTTGGGTCTGGTTTCTTTTACTCAGCATAATGTTTTCAAGGTTCATCCATACTGTAACATCTATCAGAACTTCATTCCTTCCTTCATTGCTGAATAATATTCCATTGTATGGAAAGACAATGTTTTGTTTATCCATTCATCAGTTGGTGGACGTTTGGGTGGTTTTCACTTTTTGGTTAATATAAATAATGCTGCTATGAACATTAGTTTTGTGAGGACATATATTTTCATTTTTCTTGGGAATTGAGTGGAATCGCTGGGTCATATGTCATCTATGTTTAATCTTTTGAGGAACTGCCAGACTTTTCCAAAGTGGCTGCACCATTTTGCATGAGGCTATGAGTATGTCTTGCTCTCTTACTTTCCTTTAGGTCTCTGCTCTTAATGTCACCTTTTTAGAGAGGCCTTTTGTGCCACTCTACATAAAATATTCTCTCCCTTCCCTGCTCCAGGCACTCCAGCGCTCGGTTCCTTCCTGCTTTATTGTTCTCCATAGCACTTAGCACTGTACCATGTATCATATATTCACTTGCTCATTTGTTTATTTTCTGTCTCCTCTAACTAGAATATAAGCTCCCCAGCACCTAAAAAATGCCTCACATGAAATATTTGTTGAAAAATTAATATTTATTGAAAAAATGAATGAACATTTTCCTCTGTGAGAACAGGGACCTTATTTGTTTTATTCAGCCCCGTATTCCTTCACCTGGCTCAGTTCATATGTGTTTGTTGAAAGAATGGGTGATAAGTACCGTCAGGGAGATACAGGTGCTATGTGGAGAGTCTGGCATTCAGGGGATGGAGAGGTTACTTGTGGGAGGGCTGGTGAGGAAACATCTTTTGGGGCTCCCAGAATGTGAGAGAAGGGAAGGGTTGGAAGGAAGACTTTGGTTGACTAGGTCCGTGTTGCGTTCTTAACAGTTCTAATGAAGCCAGGAGCAGGCAGAGGAGGAGGATTTGTTTGGGGTGAGGGGAGGATAATGGATGAGTTCAGTGTTCATTTAGCAAGCATATATGAGTGTCTGCACTGTGCTAGGTGCTGTCCAGCAATCCAGACGTGAAGCAGACCCATTTCTGATGTCTGGTACCTGGCCTGAGTTAGGACTGTCCTCTGTATAGCACTAATTTGTTGGATGGGGCATGAGGGAAGGGGTCAGGCAAAGTGTAACTTGAGGAAAGGGTGAGGGACAGGCTCTTATGTGTGTTACCCACAGACAATGGGGCAAAGGCTGGGGGCCTTTAGAGGAATAGCCTTTTGGCCTTACAGGAGGTGTGACTCAGAAAAGGCATCATAGGTACCGGCGCAGAGAAGACTTGGAGAAATTCTCCTGCGTCTTTAGCATCCTACTTACTTCTCTGTTTTTTCTCCAGAACCTTTCGGCTCTTGGGGCATTGGTGGGTCTCAGTAATGCACGTCTTGGATCTATCAAAACTCGGTAAGTCCTTAACCCTGTTCTTTCTCTGGGGTGATGTTCCCGAGGAAGTGGGCTCTATGTCTGCCCATCCATTGTCATTACCCCATGGATTCAAGAGATTTCTCCATTCCCTGGAGAGTGGGTTTCCTTCTTTTTGTGAGCTTACTTGAGTTGAAGCCCAACTTTTTCAGCTCCCAGGTTCCTATTCCCCACCTGGAATTACTTCTGCTCCCTTTGTCCCTTACTGCCCCCACCTCACTCCAAGTCCTCCAAGTTTTTAACGGGTTAGAAACCAGAGTGAATCTGGGAGCCCAGTGAGAGTAAAAGAACAGTAAATAGGTGTCTCTCCAGTTATCCTTCACCCACTTGTCATCACTCACTTTTTTCTTACCAGGTTTGAGGGCTTGTGTCTGCTGTCCCTGCTGGTAGGGGAGAGCCCCACAGAGATGTTCCAGCAGCATTGTGTCTCTTGGCTCCGGAGCATTCAGCAGGTCTTGCAGGTAAGGATTCAGGTGGTGACTCCTAATTCTCCATCCTGCGTGTGGTATGTTCTTTGGGGCTTGGATATTTAGTTCTGAGGGTGACAGTATAATTAGAAGTAATTTCCTGATGAAGGGGAGAATAAGCTCCAAATAGGAACATCTGTTTAACCTTTTTGACATTGTTATCTGCTGGGTTAGTTTGATTCATCTGACCTTTGACACACTAACCTCTGACAGGTTCACTTCCTTGTTAGCTTTTCTAACGTGTGATATCTCTAAAATTATGTTTTTGGTTTTTTTTTTTTTGCCTACCCTTTGTTCCTCTTTTAACATTTTAATTTTTTCCTCTACTTTTATTTTACATCCTCTGAGGACGTCTTCTCTTAGTCAGCATGCTTATTCAGCAATCATTTTCTGAGCATACATGGCAGGCTGTGTGTTAAGCTTTGGGGAGACAGAGGTGAGATGGACACAGGCCCAGCTTTCATGGTGCTTTAGTCTAGTGCAGGGGTCAGCATATTTTTTCTATAAAGGACCAGATAGTAAATATTTTAGGCTTTGCCGACCACATGTGGTCTCTGTTTCATATTATTTTTTGTTTGTTTTTTCCCCAACCCTTTAAAAATATAAAAACCATTTTAAGCTTGTGGGCTGTACAAAACAGAGGCCTACAGACTGTAGTTTAGTGTCCTGAAGTGAAAAACACTTTAATTGTATAATTTTGCAAATGAGCGTGAAATGATAAACTGAGGTACGTGCAGTGAAGGACCAGAATGGAATTTTCTGAGAACGTATAATGAGACTCTGACCCTGACCGGGGTGGTGTGGGTGGTGGTGATCAGGATCAGTGGTTCAGCGAAGTCTTTTCTTAACTGATCAGTAGGAGCTAATTGGGCTAAGAAGGGGAGAAAGAGCCTTCTAAGGATGGAAAAGCCCTGAGAAGAGAAGAGTTTGGCCCATTTGAAGAATTGTAAGCAAACTGGTGTGGCTAGTTGATGAGATGAGTCTGGAGTAGTAGGTGGATGGGGGCCAAGCCATGGATGACCTTGTGGGCCATGTTATAATTTTGGTTTTTATTCTGGGAGCAGCGGCAGATCATTGAAGGTTTTCAATGGGTGAGGAAGTGGTGGTGGGAGTGACATGATCAGATTTTCATTTGAAATATCACTCTGGGTGCTGTGTGGAGAAAGGATTAGAAAGTAGCCAGAATGGAAGCAGAAAGACCATGTAGAAAGCTACTAAAATAGTCTAAAAGAACAATCATGGGAGCTTGGACTAGGGTGGTGATAGTGGAAATGAGAGGAGTGGATGGATCTGAGAGAGATTTAGGAGGCAAACTGGATTAGGATTAGGGTCAGGGAGAGGATGTGTCCAGGATGACTCTGGATTTCAGAACACTGGAAAAAACAGATTCACTCATCTGAGTGGGAGTGGAAGCGACTGGGTGTCTGAAAAGGTAGTCTTGAGGGCTCAGTGGGTGGAGAGGTTCAGTCAATACGCTATATAAAGGGGGTGACGTCTTCAGTGTTTAGATAATGGAAACTGAAGATGACAGGAGTGAGATGAGAGACTACAAGGACTGAATTTTCAGACACCCCACATGTAATGGTCAGGTAGACGAGGATTAATTCATAAAGGAGACAGAACAGCACAGAGAAAGGAGGTAACCATTCTTGTGGACTGAGTGGAATCCATGGGACAATTACTTCAGAGAAGAGGTGAAGTCATTTGTGTTTATTCTCCTGTGAGGTGGACCAAGGTGAGGACTGAAAGTTGTTGATCAGATTTAGCAACTCAGGGGTAGTGAAAGTGTTTTTGATGGAGCAGTGGGCACTGCACCCAGACTGGTGTGGGATGAGAAGAGAATGGGAGGAGGGGGATGGAAATAAGGAAGGTAGGCAATCCTTCTAGCTGTTTGGCTGTAAAGGTAAAAAACCTACTGCCATGGAGTCGATTCTGATTCATAGCGACCTTACAGGGTTTCCAAGGCTGTAAATCTCTACGGAAGTGGACTGCCATATCTTTCTGCAGAGCCACTAGTGGTTTCGAACTGCCAGCCTCTTGGTTAGCAGTTGATCGCTTTATCCGCTCTACCACCAAGGCTCTTGGCTGTAAAGGTAAGGGAGAGAAATTAGGCAATAAGTGGGATTTGGCAAGTGAAGTATGGATTCAAGGAAGGGATTGTTAAGATAGGAGAGAATTGAGCATGTATAGACGTCATTGGGAAGAATCCATCTGAGAGGGACTGGTTGGAAGTGCAGGAGAGAGCGAGCTAATTGATAGCGTGAGGTTCTGAGAAGATGAGAGGGGATGGTGTCTAAAGCACAGTGGAGGGATTGTCTCGGGTAGGAGAAAGAGTACCTCCTCTAATGCTTAACAGGAGGAGGGAAGAAGAGGGTGGGTGAAGCTGAAGATTCAGTTTTCAGGTTTGGTAGTGGGAAGCTAGGGGGGTTCCCATCTTTGGGCTTCAGTTTTCTTTGTGAAGTTGTAGGCAAGGTCATACAGAGGTGACGGTGGGAAAAGCTGAGGTTTGAAAGTTCGAGGAGAAGGTTTGAGTAGCAGAGGGAGTTAACCAGAGAGAAATGCAGTAGAATTGCTGGGCAGTATTGCAGGTCCGTTTGTAGTTAGCAGGCCCACCTGTTCTTACTTTCTTAATACCTGTTGCTGTTGAGTTGATTCGGACGACTCATAGCGACCCTATAGGACAGAGTAGACTTGCCCCATAGGGTTTTCAAGGCTGTAAACCTATGGAGGCAGACTGCCACATCTTTCTCCCGTGGAATGGCTGGTGGGTTTGAACTGCCCACCTTTCAGTTAGCAGCTGAGCGCTTCACCACAGCGCTACCAGGGCTCTTTTCTTTTTTTTGCGTTTTATTTTTAATAATTTTATGTATTTATGTTTGTCGTTGAGAATATGCACAGCAAAACATACACCAATTCAACAGTTTCTACATGTACAATTCAGTAATATTGATTACATTCTTTGAGTTGTGTAACCTTTTTCATCCTCCTTTTCTGAGTTGTTCCTCCCTCATTAACATAAAGTCACTACCCCCTAAGGTTTCTATCTAATTTTTTGAGTTGCTGTTGTCAATTTGATCCCATATAGATAAATCTTAAAAGAGTATAGTGCTCAAGGCAGACATTTTTTTTTATTATTATTATTGTACTTGAGGTGAAGGCTTACAGAACAAATAGTTTGTCATGAAACAGTAGTACACATATTGTTTTATGACGTTGGTTAACAACCTCACAACATGTCAACCCTCTCCATTCTCGACCTGTTTTTTTGGTGAAAATATACATAGCCAAAGATACACCATTTCAAAAATTTTCTACATGCACAGTTCAGTGACATCAACTACACTCTTAACAGTTGTGCTGCTATTCTCACTTTAGATGAAGGCTTACAGAACAAAATAGTTTCTCATTTAACAGTTAGTACACATGTTGCCCTATGACAATGGTTAACAACCTCACAACACATCAACACTATCCTCACTCAACCTTGGGTTCTCTGTCACCAGTTTTCCTGTCCCCTTCTGCCTTGTGGCCCTTGTCCTTGGACTGCTGTGCCTCATTAGTCCCATTCAGTTTTATGGGGCTGTCCACTCCCCGGCTGAATGGTGAACCTCGGAAATGACTTCACCACTGAGCTGAAAGGGTGTCTGGGGGCCATACTCTTGGGCTTTCTCCAGTCTGCTTTAGGCCAGTAAATCTGGTCTTTTTTTTGTGAGTTAGAATTTTGTTCTACATCTTTTCTCCAGCTCTGTCCAGAACCCTCTGTTGTGATCCTGGTCAGAGCAGTCAGTGATGGTAGCTGGGCACCATCTAGCTGTACTGGACTCAGTCTGGTGGAGGCCTTGGTAGCTGTGGTCCATTAGTCCTTTGAACTAATCTTTTCCTTGTATCCTGTTCTCTTCATTCTTCCTTGCTCCCGAAGGGATGAGATCAGTGGAGTATCTTAGATGGCTGTTTACCGGCTTTTAAGACCCCAGACGCTACTCACCAAGGTAGAATGTAGAACATTGCCTTTATAAACTGTGTTATGCCAATTGAGCTAGATGTTCCCCGAGACCATGGTCCCCACAGCCCTCCACCCAGCAATTCAGTCCCTCAGGGAGTTTGGATGTATCTGTGGAGCTTCCATGACCTTTCTCAAGGCAGACATTTTTTTCCTAGTTAAAGTATTGTTTGGTTTTATGAAGACTTCATGGGATATGTTTGGTTCAAAGTTAAAGATTATCTCAGGGCAGTAATTTTGGGGGGTCATCCAGCCTCTATGCCTCCAGAAAATCAGGATTCCATGAGAATTTTAAATTCAATTCTGTATTTTCCCCCTTTTGATCAAGATTCTTCTGTAGACTCTTTGATCAAAATGTTCATCATGGTAGCCGAGCACCATTCATTTCTTCTAGTCTTATGGCAAGGGAGGCAGTTGTTCATGGAGGCAATTAGCCATACATCCGTTTCCTCCTCCTATTTCTGACTCTCCTTCTTCCTCTGTTGCTCCAGGCAAATAGAGACCAATTATTGTGCCTTTGAGGGATAGCTGCTTGCAAGCTTTTAAGACCCCAGGCACTATGCAGCAGACTAGGAGGTAGAACAGAGGCACTAACCAGTTAACTGAGATGTCTTATGAAACCATGACCCTCAATCTCCAACCAAGAAGCCAAATCCTGTGAGGTGTTTGGTTGTATATAAGCAGCCTCAGCAGCTACTTCTTTTTTTTTGTTGTTACAAATATATCTATCACACAATTTTGCTCCTTACTTTCTTTTTTTTCCTCAAAGTTTTATTTCATTGCTGAAAATACACACAGCAAAACACACTAATTCAGCAGTTTCTACATGTACAATTTAGTGACATTGATTACATTGTTCGAGTTGTGTGACCATTCTCACACTCCTTTTGAGTTGTTCCTCCCTCATTAACCTAAGCTCACTGCCCGTTAAGGTTCCCATCTAATCTTTCCAGTTGCTGTTGTCACTTTGATCCCAGGTAGATAGTTCTTAAAAGAGCATAATGCTCAAGGCAGACCTTTTTTACTAGTTAAGCTAAACTACTGTTCTAAGATGACTTCAGGGATTTTTTGTGACTGTTGAACAGATTTTGTTTTTGCAGCAGGAAAGCAGCAAAGACAATACAAGTGCGGTCTTTGAGCTTTGAGCTCTCGGTGTCGTGATGACTCTCGTCTTGAAGCAGGCTGAGGCATTCTGAATTTCCACAGGTCTAGGTTCAAATCTAAGATGGTGTATGCAGTGTAGTTGTGGTGCTGGAGATTCTTGTAGGTGGTGTTGTCAGATGGCCCGGTGGCTGTGGCAGCTCGCTCAGTCTTTTTTGGTTGAATTTGCTTCTTGGGATTTGCTGGCAGGCCCTTTTCACTCTTTCCTGATTCTGCAGAGAGAGGAACTGTAGAAGCAAGTCCTTGAAGCACCCTTGCTTGGAGCCCACTCTTCAGCACCGCAGCTCATCCTTGCTGTAGCAAAAGCGGGGCTGCCATGTCTGTGACACTGGGGCAGGCTGTGCAGACAACTGGGCTGGGCTGAGGTCGCACTGGGCCTTCAAGGGTTATTTTTGGTTTGAATTTTAAAGATTATCTCAGGGCAGTAGTTTCAGGGGTTCATCAACCCTGCATGGCTCCAGAAAGTCTAGAGTCCCTGAGCATTTAAAATTCTGTTCTGCATTTCCCCCCTTTTGATCAGGATTTTGTGGAATCTTTGATCAAAATGTTCAGTAGTGGTAACTGGGCACCATCCGGTTCTTCTGGTCTCATGACAAAGGAGGCAATTGTTCATGGAAGCAGTTAGCCACACATTCCATATCCTCCTCCTAGCCCTGACTCTCCTTCCTCTGTTGCTCCAGGTGGCTCCTTAACTTTTTTATTAAGCATTCTCATGTGTTTTGTTGACACATTGCCTCCTCTAGTCTAGCAGGAGATATGTCCAGAATGTTAATTCAGCATGTTAATACATATTAATTTCTCAGGGAAGTCCTTCTAAATCCAAATCATTTTTTCTTAGTGAGTTCTAAGGTGAGTTTGAGCCAGCTGGATTGAACGGTTGGCAAGATGGGGCAGTTTTGTTATGGGTGAGGATAAGCTGAGATGTTTTCAGTCTGAAAGGTGCTCTTCTCCGTTCGCATCAGGGAAATAAAGTATGGGAGAACCAAGAAACCCTTGAGAATTTTCCAGTTAGAACTTTAAGGTGTGGCTTTGTTACCTTTTTTTTTTTTTTCCCCTAAAACAAATTTCTAGGAGCCCAAATACCCTTAATACTAAAATGTAAACGTATGTCCTTTCTGTCGGTAAGTGTGTTACTTTTGGATGCTCCTTATCTCTAACGCCGTCTATTCCTACAGATAATGGATTTGATGGTAATGTTGACGTTAACGACCATGTTTCTCAAAAGCCTCATGTTGTTATACCTACCATTCCTCCTCCTCTTGGCGGCGATACAAGTCAGGTTAGAAACATGGGTTGTCATTGCTCTCTTAGTCCCAGGACCCCGCCCCCACAATGGAGTTGGCTGTGGCCATTCTGAAGGATCTGCTTCGATATGCAGCCCAACTTCCTACACTCTTCCGGGACATCTCCATGAACCACCTCCCTGGCCTTCTTACTTCCCTGCTGGGCCTCAGACCAGAGGTGAGTCCCCCCCACCCCCAAGTCTGGCCCCTTACAATACTTGTCCTCACTCATATACACTGTTTGGATTAAAGAATATAATGGGAAGTATTTGGGGAATTGGGATTGAAGGAGTGAGAAGGGAGGGGCCAAGAAAAAGTGATTGTATGGAGAAGGGACCTTAAGGGGTCGATGGGGTGCGGGGAGTGGAGGCGATGGGTGCTCAGCCTCTTTCTTACTGTTTCCCACAGTGTGAGCTTTCGGCACTGGAGGGAATGAAGGCATGTATGATCTATTTTCCTCGGGCTTGTGGCTCTCTTAAAGTAAGTATTTGTGGAAATGCCTCTCCCCATCAACATAAGCTGTTACAGCTCTTATCTCAGCTTCTATTCCTGAGATTTCTAAGCACCTATATTCTGATTGTTCTTAGAGTTACCTATTTCCACAACTGGGGGCAGTGGTGGTTCAGTGGTAGAATTCTCACCTTCCATGCAGGAGACCTGGGTTCGATTCCCCGCCAGTGCACCTCACGCGCAGCTGCTACCTAGTGGAGGCTTGCATGTTGCTCTGATGCTGAACAGGTTTTAGCAGAGCTTCCAGACTAAGATGACTAGGAAGAAAGGCCTGGCGATCTGTTTCCAAAAATCAGCCAGTGAAAACCCTGTGGATCACAATGGTCTGATTTGTAGCCGATCATGAGGATGGTGCTGGACTGGCAGCATTGCATTCCTTTGTGTGTGGGGTGGCTGTGAGTCGGGGGCTGTCTTGATTGTAGCTAACAGCATCATCTCCACAACTATAATTATATCACTGTGTAGCGCTTTAAATGCATTATCTCATATAATCCTCACAGATGAAGAAATTGAAGTAAAACAACTTGCCCAAGATCAGTAGGAATCAGACCCATAGCTGTATGATGCTAGAGCCCAGGCTCTTAACTGTGGACTTATTCCCCTTTCTCCGTGCCTTCTCTGTACCTTGAGAATGCCTTGTGCATTTGTCTACCATCCTATCTTTCTTTGTTCCTGAAGCTCTTATAATTTCCTCAGAGAAGTCTTCCTGGTTTAGCACTTCCCATGACAACTTCCCCATCACTCTTCTCTTCTTATGTTCCTGGCTGATCTCACTCTATCACTTCCCCACCTTCCTCCCAGCTGTCGTGACCCAAACAAGGTGGCTGTACAGCAAAGCCTTATTAGAGCAAACAGGTGTGGGTATGTGGCTCAGGCAAAGGAGGAGGCCAATGAAAGAATTACAGTTTTATTTTCAAGGAGATACAGTGACAAATATGAATGGTTAACAAATTCTGCTAAAGCAGTAAAAGTTAAAGGACTGTTGATAATTAGCACATTTGTTTGCAGTAAAATTGGATGCCCACTAGTACCTAAGAACAAGTAGGCACTGTCCTGTAGATTAAATGTTCTCTTTTATTGTGTTATACTCATCATTGGCTTGACAAACCCTTCAGTACCCCCTTACTCAAATGGAAGCATGAATCACAGAGCTGGAAGTAACAGAAAATTAACTTTTTAATATAACTAGTGTGAGTAACTGTATTGGCCGTTATGATGATCAGTTAAGAGAGAGTTTGCCATTCATATTGTCTTGAAAGTAACATTACAGGGTTCTGTGATCAGATCAGAGGAGCCTGATGATGCGGTGGTTAAGTGTTTGGCTGCTAACCAGAAGCTTGGCAGTTCAAACCCACCAGTTGCTCTGTGGGAGAAAGACGTGGCAGTCTGCTTTCTTAAAGCTAACAGCCTAAGAAACTCTATGGGGGCAGCTCTACTCTGTCCTGTAGGGTTGCTAGGAATTGGAATCGACTCGATGGCAGTGTGTTTATGATCCAGTCAAGCATAAGCCCTTAAGGAGTCAGTCACATATGTAGTTGCATAAGCCCCATAAGTCACAGAAGGGAAAAGAAACTGCTATTTGGTGGGTGCCCACTATGTGCCAGGCACTCTGCTGAGCGTTGTAGCTGCATCATCTCATTTTATCATTATAATAATTCTGTGGAGTTGGTATTACCCCATTTTACAGAGGAGGAAATAGGCCCACGGGGATTTAAATAACTAAAAGGTTCTGTAACTGGTAGTTGTAAAACCAGAATGTGAACCAGATCTGTTTGCCTTAAAAGCCCATGTTCTTTCCACTAAACCAAACTCCCTAGACGTTTTTAAGAATGCAGGCAGGATTGACAGGTTTCAACACTAGGGCCTGCTCTGATACAGTTCATCGTGGCTCTGTAGATCTCTGGCTTGTGAGACGCGGAGCTCTGTGGACACGGGTGCTATGATCAGGGAGTGGTGTCAGCCAGGGCTTTAGTAACTGGCCACTTGCAGTATCTGACACGTCCCCGAGCAGATGATACTGCGGTGAACTTGTTAAGCATGTCCTTGTTAATTCTTTGTTTTCATGTGAATGCCACTAATCAAGGCCATAGACTCTTTGGGGAAGCAGGCAGGATGTTTATCAAGGAGGCATTTGGAGTAACTGATGGAATTAAGTTTAATAAAAACCGCCTTTCTTGTAAAATATTCTGTAAGTTAGACTTCTAAAATGATACACATAGATCTTTGTCCCTGACGCCCTCATTGGTCAATGTTTGTGAGGTTCTACTGCAAATGTCTATTGTGATTCATCTTTGTTTGGTATTATGTGTATCTTCCTGAAAATGGAGGGGGGATTACGTGTTACCTGCAGGACAGAGATTTGACCAGTCATGAGGACTAGAGTGCTAAGTGTTGCCTCTGCTGTTACTTCTTAATTTTCAGTGTGAGTGGTAAGGAGAGTTCATCTGTAATCACCTTTTGTCAGGCGTGTTTACTTTTTGAAGTTATGGCCCGGTTTTTGAGCACCCTTTCCAAACCAAACAAAGCTTTCATACATTGTTAAGAGGGTATGTATATGCACTTTTATTTCTCTAAGAGTAAAGTGTCATCTGGAGAACTGCCCTCACGTGAGGGTTTTTGGCTTCCTCTGTTGGCAGCACCTCAGATGAGGGTGTCTTTTGTGCAGAGGCCCCAGCGGCAATTTGTGCTTGAAAAATCATGTGGACCAAGTACTTAGGAAACTGATCATTGCCATTTTGAAGTGTTTATCTGTTCTGCGTCCCATCCCTCAGAGGTCCCTAGAGCAGTTACAGTCGCCAGGCTCAGGGTAACTCCCCACAAATGACGCATCACAAGCATTTGGCGTCTGTGAGGTGAATCTCTGCAGAAACTTTACCTCACCTCCTCCTCCTCGCCATATTAATTAACAGTTCTTGGGAAGAGTGGGAAGACTAACTCTACTTCTGAGAAATACCCGGGGTATGTTTTGTGTGTGTATACGTTTTGAGTGAAATGTTTCAAGTGAGCTATTACTTGGGTTTGCTTTGTGGGTTACCTGGGGCAGAGCCACGTCATTGTCCTCTGCTTCATTGCAGTCACATAAGCCAACTTCTTTTGGCCTCAGCCAGGTTTTTGAGCCAGAGTCAGTTCTACCTCTCAGGGGAAGTGTGAGCAATAAGGTGGCTGAAGGGGCTGAGCGTCATTCTCATTGGGGTGATGGCAGCTATCTGAGAGATACCGCCCTCGGAGAAGCCAGTGAATTAGGAACCCTTTGGGTGTGACTGTTGTTTGAAGTGTTCTGAAACCCTGCAACATCAGAGATGAAAGTACTTTCCAAGTTCCAAGGGAGGTTCTAGATCCTCTCCTACCTAGGGTTAGCTATAACAGGGCTTGTTTTGTGGTTAGTAAGAATCCTGAAGTGGAACATGGGAACTTAATGTGGTTCGTTCTGCAGGGTAGATAAGAGGGAGTCCTTGGAGGATCAGTTTCTGAACAGCACACTGACGGAAGCTTTTGCTTCTAATTTCCACCCTTAAGTCCCCTGCCTTTTGCCTGGTGCCACTGCTGATTTGCCTTCCAGAAGTTTACCTTTAGGCGTGTAATACCTGCTGTTTCCTAGATGAGGTCCATTCTCCTGAGCCTGGAATTTAAGGCCTCACTCTGTTTCTGTGGCCTCCTCTGATTCTGTAGCTTTTCTCACACTCTTTCTCCCTACTCTTGTCTCATGATCTGTATCTGACCCTTTCTCTCATCTGCCCTCCGACACTCAGCTTTACCCTCTCGACTTCTCTGTACCCTTCGCCGTGTACGATGCCAATGTTGGTTCCGTGTTGTTGTTTTCCGCAGGCTTATTCTGACCAACTCTTAACTACCACTGAAGGTGGAAGTCCTCTGTCATTCCTTTCTAGATCGCTAGTGCAGGCTTGTTAACCCTGCCATGAGACTCTTCTCAGAATAGTGTTTTTAAATTTGTAAAATAAAACATGAGATAGCAAAGGGCACGATTCTGTTAAAATCTGGTTATCAAAATACGATATAAAATCGCGATAGACTAGTGTGTGCTTCTTTATTAACATATTAAATAACCAGATCTTGTGATGCGTCTAATGACTACCATAATTTCAAATTAGTGATGCATGTGACTGATGCTTCAAGGTACTTGTCATAGTGTGAAATGAAGAGGGGGATTTCTGTTGGTGGCAGCCACAGGTACTGCTAATACTACTGTGGTTTGTTATCTACATTTATAATTGAGGGAAATGCTACATTTCACTTATTGGTTTGTGAAAATAAAGGTTTGATTTTTTTTTTCGTATCTGTGTTCACAGGCCCCTTTGATTCTGTGCCCAAATAAATTATGGACCCCAGGTTAAATAGCCCTGCTCTGGCACCTTCACAGAGCAGGCAGCAGTAACTTGGCTGACAGGTCACTGCTCTGGGTTTTACTACCTTGGTTCCCTTTTGCTTTCACCTTGTCCTGCTCTTACAGCTCTGGTTAGCACCTCCACTCTCAGCTGCCACCTTTGTTTCTGTGTATAAGCTTGTAGAAAGTTGGGTGTATGGGTTGCTGCTTTTTGGTACTCTCTGTCCTGTTGGCTTCAGGAAGATGATGGTATCATTTTGTAAAAACTGGCTAGAGGGAGCCCAGTTGGGTGTGGGGCAGGGGCTAGACCCTTTTACCCCAGGACAGGGAGACTAAGGGTAAGAGTGGGCATTTTGGATATCCTGCCATCACTGAAGCATGTCTGCCGCCAGGCATTGATGCCCTCTGTAGAGTTCTTTGCTTCCTGTGTCTGGAGGAAAGAAAAGGCGTGGGCTTAGATTGTGCTGGTGGGCGTGGACAAGGTGTGTATCTCTGGCCCTTGATGCTGACTCACCAGCCTCTTTTCTTTCTCCTCAATCCAGGGCAAGTTGGCCTCCTTTTTCCTGTCTCGGGTGGAGGCCTTGAGCCCTCATCTCCAGCAGGTGAAGGGAAGGGAGGGGTGTGGAGAGCCTGGGGTTTCTCATCTTATCTCTTTCTTAGCTTTCTCTCTGTTACTGCTTCTAGACCGTGTTCCCCCTTCCCACTTGTTAACACCTAGTGTCTACTTCTGCACCACGTTCTTATCTCTCTAGCGCCCCACTGTGCCTTCCCATGTTTCCCTCAGCGCTCTCTTCGGTCTCCATCTTTTCTTGGGCATTGGTGGGGTGGGCAGATTCTGTGGCTGGGCCTGAGTCCCGTTTGACCCGATTTCTGATGCCTCTTCTGCAGTTGGCCTGCGAATGTTACTCCAGGCTGCCCTCCTTAGGGGCTGGCTTTTCCCAGGGCCTGAAGCACACGGAGAGCTGGGAGCAGGAGCTGCACTGCCTGCTGGCCTCACTGCACAGCCTGCTGGGCACCCTGTACGAAGGAGTGGAGACGGGTAGGGACTACGACTGGGAGTCAGTGGGCAGTGGTTGGGGAACTTGGCAGGAGGGAAGGAGGAGGGTGGCCCAGAGTGGGTGGGGGAAGTAGGTTTTCAGGCAACGTGGACTATCGGGTGCGTCCTCCGCCAGAAATAGAGGAGGAGGGGAAGGAAGAAGGGTGCCAAGTATAAAAGGTGGTGTGTTTCTGTCCAGCTCCTGTGCAGTATGAGGGGCCGGGAGTGGAGATGCTGCTGTCCTCCTCAGAAGATGGTGATGCTCACGCTCTTCTCCGCCTTCGGCAGAGGTTTTCTGGACTGGCCCGCTGCCTGGGCCTTATGCTCAGGTGTGTGTGGAGGTGGGGGTGGGCGAGGAGCAAGGCCCTGGAGCAGGAGGGTTTGTGCTGGGGTGTCAGCTTCATCATGGGGAAGGAGATTGAGGGGAGTATGGGGAGTCACGCTTGGGCAGCTGTGCTGAGGGCCTCCCTGCTCTGATTCTCTCGGTAGCTCTGAGTTTGGGGCCCCCGTATCTGTCCCTGTGCAAGAAATCCTGGACCTCATCTGCCGGACCCTCAGCGTCAGTGGCAAGAATATCGTAAGCAGAGCTTGTCCTCTATTCATAGCCCTTTCTCAGAACCCAGTGTAACTGGGAAAGCGCGGGAGGATCTTGAAGCCACCAGACAGTGCCATCCTTGAAGCCTGTCCCAGATGGCTCCTGACTTTTGTGCAAATGCCATTGTTCCCTGAGCGTCCCCAGACACATGTGCACACTGTTGGATGCTTTTCTTATGTACGCTGGGAGCACTTGTAGCAAATGCTTCAAAGGGGAGGGTGTTTCGGGATCAGCTGAGTCATTGCTGAGGCATTCAGCCATCTTTGCCCCTACCTTCCTTCTAGGGTCTGGTTTAAAGGATGGGGGTTTGATTTTGTTAAGATGGGGTCAGGAGGTGGGGTCCCTTCCATATGTCTACGCACGTGTCTAGTCACACTCAGCCACTGTGTCTCCGTGTCTGCCTCTTCCTGTGTCTCTCTTTCTTTCCCTATTTGTTTTTGCTCATTCTTCCATTTTCTTCCCCCAGAGCTTGCTTGGAGATGGTCCACTACGGTTGCTGCTGCTGCCCTCGATCCACCTTGAAGCCTTGGACCTGCTGTCTGCCCTCATCCTCGCGTGAGTGATCGGCAGGGTGTGATGAAGTGACTGGGACGTGCTGGGAATGAGGACTCACCATGCTGTTTGTGCCTCCAGGTGTGGAAGCCGGCTCTTGCGCTTCGGGGGCCTGATCAGCCGTCTGCTCCCCCAGGTCCTCAATGCCTGGAGCATGGGTAGGGATATCCTCTCGCCAGGCCAGGAAAGACCTTACAGGTGAGCACTGAGGAAGGGAGTAAAGAGGAGGGGGCGGAGATTCAGATGGGTGGAGGCTCAGAGGGGCTGTGAGTGCTGAAGGAGGAGAGGCAGGATCAGGTGGGTAGATGATCCTTCCATGACTTCTCCTTGTTGCTCCCACCGCAGCACTGTGCGGGCCAAGGTGTATGCTGTCCTGGAGCTGTGGGTGAAGGTGTGTGGAGCCTCGGCAGGAGTGCTCCAGGGAGGAGCTTCGGCAGAGGCCCTGCTCACCCACCTGCTCAGTGACATCTCCCCCCCAGCCGATGCCCTCAAGGTGAGTGCAGCCTTGGCTCCTATGTGCCCCTCGCTCTCATCCTGTGTCCTTGGTCCCAGCGTGCCCCTCACCAGCCACTCCTTCTCCTCTTCCCTGCCTTCCTGTTTGCCTCTGTATGTTGATTTACGGTTCCCTCTGCCCCCAGCTGCGCAGCCCCCGGGGGAGTCCTGATGGGGGTTTACAAACTGGAAAGCCCAGTGCCCCCAAGAAGCTGAAGCTGGATGTGGGGGAGGCGGCGGCCCCGCCTAGCCACCGGAAAGGGGATAGCAATGCCAACAGCGATGTGTGTGCAGCTGCGCTGAGAGGTGGGTGAGGGCTGGCCCTGGGCCTTAGGGCTCTGGGGTGGCCTGGGGTGAGAGCCTGAAGCCAGTTGGTGAAGTGGAGTAGGTAAGATGCAGAGCCAGGTGAAAGTCTGCAGAGCAGGCCAGACGGAGGAGCAGAGGCAGCTGCCTACTCACCGGGGTGGAATCTTGGCTCCTGCCTTTAGAGCAGGGATTCTGGTCATTCACATGGACCCTCCAAGGCTTCGTTTATCTCATGTATTTAACACGTGTTGTTCGCATAGCCACTCTGTATGCCGAGTACCGTTCTAGGCACTTGGGGAAGAAATCTCCACCCTCGGTGGAGCTTACATTCTTCCAGGGCAGGTTCCCCAGTGGTGCTTCCTGTTTCCAATATACTGTCTAATCAGTTAACAGAAGTTTCTAGTCTGATACTGTGCAGTGAATGGGTGACTTTCATTTGGGTCCTGTATATTTCACAGCCTGTCACCTCACCCTTTTGTCAAGAGGAGAGCCACTCTCCCCAGATAAATAAATACATATTTATGATGTTTTACATAATTATCTCATTTGAATATTGTCACCAGCCCCAAGTAGTAGAGGTACTTTTTTTTTTTTAAATTGCTTCAGACAAAAGTCCAGCGATGAGGGAAGTCGTAGAGGTACTTTTTGATCCCCATTTGATAGTTAAGAAAACAGACTCAGAGCGTGACCTGCCCTGGGGATGTATGGTTCAGAAGGCCTGGCCCTGAGTTCTGCTGGTAGCCGGCCTCTGACTCACCCTGTCTCCTCCCCAGGCCTTAGCCGGTCCATCCTCATGTGTGGGCCTCTCATCAAGGAGGAGACTCACAAGGTAAGTAGAACCTGAGGGGAGGCCCCTGCTCTGTTCATGTCGGGGTGTGCCCCAGCAGCAGGCCCATTCAAACCCAAGTAGGCCCTGGGGAAGGGCTGGCTGGCCTTGGTGATGTTTCTAGGTGTACTTCTGCCCTTTGCAGAGACTGCATGATCTGGTCCTGCCCTTGGTCATGGGTATCCAGCAGGGTGAGGTCCTAGGCAGCTCCCCATATACCAGCTCCCGCTGCCGCCGTGAACTCTACCACCTGCTGCTGGCACTGCTGTTGGCGCCTTCTCCTCGATGCCCACCTCCTCTGGCCTGTGCCCTGCAGGCCTTCTCCCTTGGCCAGCGAGAAGATAGCCTTGAGGTGAGTCAGCATCTTTGGTTTCTGGGGTCCCTTGTCTCTGATGCCGGTGGGCTCTCCCTCTCTAGCCCCCTGGCACTCTGTGTTCCTGATGCTCACACTTGCCTTCTTCCTTCCTCAGGTCTCCTCTTTCTGCTCAGAAGCACTGGTGACTTGTGCTGCTCTGACCCACCCCCGGGTTCCTCCCCTGCAGTCCGTGGGCACCCCCTGCCCCACACCTGCCCCAGTTCCCCCTCTCGAGTCCCCATCTCCGTTCAGGGCCCCACCCTTCCATCCCCCAGGCCCCATGCCCTCGGTAGGCCCCATGCCCTCAGCAGGCCCCATGCCCTCAGCAGCCCCAGTGCCCTCAGCACGCCCTGGACCTCCAGCCACAGCCAACCACCTAGGCCTCTCTGCCCCAGGCCTGGTGTCTGTGCCACCTCGGCTCTTATCTGGCCCTGAGAACCACCGGGCAGGCTCCAATGAGGACCCGGTCCTTGCCCCTAGTGGCAGTCCTCCTCCTTCTATACCCCCTGATGAGACATTTGGTGGGAGAGTGCCCAGACCAGCCTTTGTTCACTATGATAAGGAGGAGGCGTCCGATGTGGAGATCTCCTTAGAGAGTGACTCTGATGACAGCGTGGTGATTGTGCCTGAGGGGCTGCCGCCCCTGCCGCCCCCGCCCCCATCAGGCAGCACACCTCCCCCTGTGGCCCCAGCTGGGCCACCAGCGGCCTCCCCTCCTGTGCCAGCCAAGGAGGAGCCTGAAGAGCTTCCTGCAGCCCCAGGGCCCCTTCCACCACCGCCACCCCTTCCTGTTCCTGGTCCGGTGACACTCCCACCACCCCAGTTGGTCCCTGAAGGAACTCCTGGTGGGGGAGGACCCCCAGCCCTGGAAGAAGATTTGACAGTCATTAATATCAATAGCAGTGATGAGGAGGAGGAGGATGAAGAGGAGGAAGAGGAGGAGGAAGAGGAAGAGGATGAAGATTTTGAGGAAGAAGAAGAGGATGAGGAAGAGTATTTTGAAGAGGAAGAAGAGGAAGAAGAGTTCGAGGAAGAATTTGAGGAGGAGGAAGGTGAATTAGAGGAAGAAGAAGACGAGGAGGACGAGGAGGAGGAGGAAGAGTTGGAAGAGGTAGAAGAACTGGAGTTGGGCTCAGCAGGAGGGGAGGTGGAGGAAGGTGGGCCCGCACCCCCGACCCTGCCTCCAGCTCTGCCCCCCTCCGAATCCCCCAAGGCACCGCCTGAGCCAGAACCAGAACCTGGGCTGCTGTTGGAAGTGGAGGAGCCGGGGGCAGAGGAGGAGCATGGGGATGAGATGGCCCCCACACTTGTCCCTGAGGTACTCCCCTCCCAGGGGGAGGTGGAAAGGAAGGGGGGAAGCCCCCCAGCAGGGCCTCCTCCACAAGAGCTTGTTGAAGAAGAGCCCCCTGCCCCCCCAACCCTGCTGGAAGAGGAGACTGAGGATGGGGGTGACAAGGTACCACCCCCACCAGAGGCATCCGCCGAAGAAGAGATGGACACAGAGACAGAGGCAGCAGCTCTCCAGGAAAAGGTGAGAGGGCCAGGTAGGGAGGGCAGCTCGTGTGGGAGGCTGAGGGTGAGAAGACGGGGTTGCAGCTGCTTTTGTTGGGGAAGAGGTTTGTCCCCAGCCTGGCCCACTCTTCTCTGTGTGTGTGACTTTCACATCTTGTATCTTTGTCCCTAAAAGGAGCAGGATGACACAGCTGCCATGCTGGCCGACTTCATTGATTGTCCCCCTGATGACGAGAAGCCACCAGCTGCCACAGAGCCTGATTCTTAGCCCTCTCCTGCACCCCCAACCCATTTCCAATAAAGTTATGTCCTTAGATATCAACTGCTGCTTCTGCCTTTTGCCAACTGTGTCCCCAGCCAGAAGCCCAAGTGTCTACTGGGCTTTTCAAGATACCCGTGCTATTTCCCAAATGTCTCCATGACCATCCTGTTGTCTCCATTGTCCAGAGGAGGAAACACTGACCTACGGGGATCGTGGGGACCATCAGAATTTTAGAATTCTCGTCCTCTGCTCTTTCTGATGCTAAATCTGTGCTGGCTTGTCTGTGTGGTTAAGACTACGAGGAGTTATAAAATGTAGTCCTGCTTTTTTTTTTTTTTTAAATTATGGTGAAAGTATACACACCAAAACATCCGGCAACATAGCAAATTCCACATTTACAATTCAGTGACATTGATTACATTTTTCATTCTATGCCACCATTATCACTATCCTCATCCAATGTAGCCCTGCTTTTGAGTTTGTAATCCAAGTGTGGAAATTGTGTGGGATTAAGTGCCCTAGTGAGTGAACCTGTGTAAAAAGAAACACACACACACACATTTGGTCTTGAAGAACGGGCTGAGCAATTGTGATGGAACCTTAGAGAACTGTGAAAAGACGAGGAGTCTAGTCACTGAATTCTGTGAAATATGAACCTTTGGCATCCCGACTTAGAGGTGCATCCACGGCGGACCTGGGGCTGAGGTCTGTTCCAGGCTGGTCCTTCCGTTCACATCCCACTTCTCCCGTTCACTTCCCTGGCGGGAGTTTGATAAGCTCTCCCAGACCTCCCTATCCAGTCTTCAGATGCGAAAATTTCCCAGTCAGCGTCTGGTCCCTTTTAGTTAAACTCTAGGCCTTGCTGGGATGCAGATATGCAAGCATGAACTTAAAGGTGTGGGTGTGAAAAGATACCAAGATGTATGGACCTGAGGTTGACGTCGCATGATTTATTCACTCAGTCTTTATTGATGTATGAACGTAAGTAAAGGAACATGGAAATACAGAAAAGGGAGTGGTTTATTCCAATTCATTGTATCCTGAACAACCTCTTTTGAGGAGGCAGTAGTTGAGCTTATTTTTGAAAACTTCAGTAGGGGTTTAAAAAGTTTTCTTCCAACTTGTGAAAAACTACAAACCTACAGAAAAGTTGTAAGAATAGTATATAACCTTTGCTTAGATTTGACATTGCTAACAATTTGCCGTGTTAGGTTTTATCCCAATATAACTATCTGTATATACATCTATATCTCTGTGTATATAAACACATATGTATCTATACACATTTTCTTTTTCTGTGGAACAATGTGAAAGGAAGTTGCAGATGTCATGACGCTCTACCCCTAAATTCTTCAACATTATCTCCTAAGAATAAGGACATTTTCCTACATAATCACAATTACCGAACCTAAGAAGAATAACAGTAATTCAGTAATAGTGTATATATTGTGATATTCAATTTTTCCTACTTATTCCTAAAATGTCTTTTATAGCTCTCTGTTTTTCCCCTGATTCAAGTTCAAGAGGCATTTTTTTAGGTGGAGAAGGCGATGCAAAGCTTCAGGATCACTGCGAGAACAAAGGTGCAGATGTGTGAAAACTACTGGAATAGTGACTTTTCAAAAAGGGAAAGAACCTGATTTCTGGAAACTGTAGATAGATAAAGTTGGCACTGATCCTGGGAAAGAGACTAGAACAGAAATTTTCCTAATTTAAATTGTGTTCTGAATAGATAATACCTTCACAGGGTTCAAAATTCAAAGGTGCAAAAAGTTTGTTGAAAGTCTTCACCCCTGTTCTCCAGCCACCCAGATTTTCTGCTTAGAGATGGCCAGTATTGTCAGTTTTTATATATTCTTCCAGAGATAGTGTGTACAGACCCAAGCAAATATATATAGCCCCCCTTTTTGTGACACAGTTTATTGTACTTTTTTTCACCTAATATGGGAGTTTATTAATTCAACAAATATTTACTATCAGTTATGTACTGAAAACCAAACCAAACACGCTGCCATTGGAGCAGAGCCACTGGTGGTTTCGAATTGCTGACCCTCTGGTTAGCAGTACATCGCTTTAACCACTGTGCTACCAGGGCCCCAGTTATGTACTAGGCACTGTTTTATCATTAATATGTATATTTTGAAATAATTCGCCGAGGTTGCAAAGATAATATACAGGTCCCATGTGTCCTTCACCCAGTTTCCTCCAGTGGTTACATCTTACATGATTATAGTACAGCATCAAAACTGGTAATCTGACATTGGTCCAGTGATAGGCACTGTTCTAGAAGCTGGGGATAGAGCAGCAAACAAAACAGGCAAAAATGTCTGCCCTACCCTTATGGGATTTGTATGTACGTGTTCGGCTGGTGGTAATGGTAGACAAACAAGTAAAATATATCCTATGTTAGATGTTGACAAGTGCTTTGGGAAAACAAAGCAAGAGAAGGGGATAGGTTTGTGTGGTTGTGTGTTTTTTCAGCATTTATTATGAAAATTTTAAAACAGAAGTTGAATCATGCAGAGAGCACCCATATATCCACCACCTAGAGTCTACATTAAACACTATTCCATTTATGTGCCTGCTTGGGCAGTTGTAAGTAGAATGGCTAGGGAAGGTCTCACGGAGAAGGTGATATTTGAATAAAGACCTGAAGGAGTTTTGGGGAAAGAGTTTTCAAGGCAGAGGGCACAGCAAATACAAAGGTCCTGAGGCAGGAGCATTCTTGGGGTGTTCAAGAAAGCAGTCAACCAGTGAAGTTGAAAATGGGAGATGAAGTCAGAGAGATAATAGGGTAGGAGTAGGAATGGGTGGGCGGTGATGCAGGGCCTTATGGCTGTTACTCTGAGTGAGGTGGGAAGCCACTGCAGAGTTTTGATCAGTCTGGCTGCTCTGCTGGGGAATATGGACTGGAAGGGAATAAGGGTGGTAGCAGAGACACCATTTAGGCTAATTCAGCTCGCTGGGAGTTGTGATGCCTTGGAACAAGGTGATGGAGAAGTGGTTGGACCCAGGTATTTTTTGAAGGTAGAATTGACAGAATTTGATACCATTTCAGTTGATACAGAGCTTCCTCATTCTTTTTTTACAGCTGCATAGAATTATACCATAATTTATTTAGCCAGTCCCTGATTGATGAACACTTAGATTGATTGCAATCTTTTGCTGCTGCAAAACAAACATGTATATGTGTCATTTTGTACATGAATGAGTATCTGTGGGATAAATTCCTAGAAGTAGAATTGCTGAGTTCTTTCTTGGCGGTTGTACCAGTTTTTGCTCCCACCAGGAATACGTTTCCCCAAACCTTTGCCAGAGAGTGTTAACAAGCTTTGTGATCTTCACCAGCGTGTTAGATGGGAAATGGTACACCTATGTATTTTAATTTACACTTCTTTTTTTAGAGTTTGGGCCTCTTCCTGTGTTTAAGATTTCTTTGAATGTCCTTTTCTGTGAAATACCCATATCCTTTGCCTATTGTTGATTTTTATTCTTGTTTCATAGCTCTTTATATATTAGGAAAATTAGCCCTTTGTATTAAGAGTGGTAAATTTCTTTTTTTACAGTTTGCCTTTTGACTCCTTATACTGGTTTTTGCCATGCTGAAAATTTTTATTTTTATTTAGTTGAACTTATCAATCTTGTAAAGCTTCTGGGTTGTGTGTCATATTTTAAAAAAAACTGTCATCATTCTGAGATTATTAAAAGAGTCACATTTTTTCTAGTAATTTTATGATGCCTTGCTTTTATCATGCTAATACTTTTATGCTTTTTATTTTTTTGCATTTAAATCTTTCATCCATTTGGGATTTATTGTAGTGTAAGGCATGTGGTACATACCTTTACTTTGGCCAACTTTGCTATTTTGTCCAAGTGTCATTTATTAAGTAACCCATCTTTTCCAAATTTGAAATGCCATCTTTATTACATCCTAAATTTCCATATGTTTTGGGGTCTGTTTATTGATTGTGTGTTCTATTCCATTGTGTCTGTGTACACCTATTTATTATGGCTTTATGGTATGTTCCAACATCTGGTAGGAAGAGTATGAAGCGTGTTTTGGGTTGACACGGGAAAAAGAACAGGTAGGAGCCAGAATAAGTCCACGATTCAGAACAGGGCCTGTTGGACTCCCTTCTGAGTTTCTGGATTGATAGTTGGGGAAATGTTAGTTGGGAAGAGACAGCATTTTGTCTTCAGCAAGCTCTTGAACAGTCTGCTGTTGGCACGGGTAGAGAATGTTGCTGTTGGCACGGGTGTGCTTGTGGCACGGGTAGAGAATGTTGGCTGAATATTAGGATAAGTAATTATTCAAGCAATTAATTATCTTACCCAAGGATAATAGATTAAGGTTATTCTGGAGGTTTCTTAGGATGTGCTGAAGACCTCTCTTAGATACATCTTGTTGAAAATCACTATAAGTAACTTGGGTGTATATCTGTTTATTAAGTTTGCGTGGGACACAAAGTTGGAAGGCTAGTGTACATTTGGGATGGCAAGTGATGATTTTTTTTAAAAAATTGCATGGTGGATGTTTTAGATTGAATTGTGTCCCCCCCAAAAATGTGTGTCAACGTGTCTAGTCCATGATTCCCAGTATTGTGTGATTGTCCACCATTTTGTCATCTGATGTGATTTTCCTATGTGTTGTAAATCCTACCTCTATGATGTTAATGAGGTGAGCTAGTGGCAGTTATGTTAATGAGGCAGGACTCAATCTACAAGATTAGGTTGTGTTTTAAGTCAATCTCTTTAGAGATATAAAAGAAAGAAGTGAGCAGAGGGACATGGGGACCTCATACCACAAAGAAAAGAGAGTCAGGAGAATAGTGCATCCTTTGGACCCGGTGTCCTTGTGCTGAGAAACTCCTCAGTAGGGAAAGATTGATGACAAGGACCTTCCCCCAGAGCTGGCAGAGAGAGAGCACGTTCCCCTGGAGCTGGCCCTGAATTCGGACTTCTAGCCTCCTAGACTGTGAAAGAATAAGTTTCTCTTTGTTAAAGCCATCCACTTGGATTTCTGTTATAGCAGCACTAGATAACTAAGATAGTGGAA